ACAATAAACGCTGCTGCTTGCAAAATCTTTTCATTCATCCATAAGGCCATGCACAAGTCATGAATGAGAACAGCCGACTTCATGTCTCAAAACTTGGCCGAGCCGGAAGGCCTCTCCATCTCATCCTCTCACCAGCATTCCCAGCAAACCCATGGTGGTGTACGCCAGTCCCGTTATGGCACTGAACACAAGGTAGTCTTTGCGCCTACGCAAGCGCTCATGACGTTTCAGGCGACCCATCGGCTGCGAGATGGAGTTCCACTGGGCCAGGGCTTCTGGTGCCGTCGGGCGAGCGGCAGGGCTGCTTTCCGCCATTGAGGATACAAGCGGTCGAAGAAACTCGAGGTTGGCGTATTTCTGCATGGGTTGATGGAGAATTAGCTCAGATGAATTCCAGAAGACCGCCGGAAAATGGTTGCGCTTGCCTCCAAGAACGTCTGTTCCAGAAGTTGACCCAGGCAGAAGATGTCCACCTTGAAAGGATCATAGGGGGTGCGCTCAGAAAGCTCTGGTACTCTTTGATTACGACCAAGAAGGCCCGTGACTTGACTTTCTTGATACGAGGAAATACCAAAGTCGATGTATACGTACGAAACCCGACCAACCGCTCTCGGCAGATGGCGCGCTCGGCGTTTCAGGTCATGCGATTTTCTATGGTAGATAGGGTGGAAGCCTTCTGGGTATATCTGTGACGCGTCGATGAGAACATTGTTGGGATCGATGTCTCTGTCTTGACCGGTCAGACGTGTTCAGACTCATAGAACGACCAGTGATACGCGTGCGTGTGTGTGCGCACGTGAGTGAGTGAGAAAAAAAGAGAGGAGGTGGAATCAGAGTTCCATCATCACCCACGTCTTATGGATGACGGTTGAAGAGATATCCGGAGCGGCGTGAACTCACCTGTGTGCGACGCCCTGCTGGTGAAGAAATACAAGGCCCTGTCAAACAGTCAATCAACCTGTGGGCCGTGCAGTGTCAAGAGTACACGCCCTGAGCAGTTCTTCGACGCATTCGATGCACTCTCCTAGTGTGCGCATCGGCGGATCGTCCAGTGGGCGGAGCAAAGGCATGACCACGTAGGAGATAGACGGGTCAACATTGTCCTTAAACATGTCTAGGACGCGAACGGCGTGATTTTGCTCGTCTTCTCTGAGGGCTGGCTGATTGAGCAGGCTGAGAATCCTGCTTTCCTCGTCACCTGTGCGCACCCGTTTGATGTATACTTGCGCGCCGTCACTGAAACGTGTCGCGTCGATCAAATCTACTTGTGCCTGGTTACGTTGATGAGGGATGAATATCTGATGATAGAAAACTTGCCGGCGCACCGGAGTTGGACGCGCATCCTCGGCATCCGCCATTTTTCTGAAGCGAGCTTTTACGGATATGGCCTCTGCAGTTCTCCAAGATGGAGTCCAACCCTCCCTTAGACGAGGTCTCAGCTGGTAACCCTTTGCTAGTAAGTAGGGTCCGGCGTCCCTCCAAGCCCGTTCATGAGAGCTGAGTTGACCGGTATTTTGGTCCGCTTCGTGAAAAACGCTCTCGAGGTCAGCGGTACGACCTTGTCTGCTCTTCGTCATGCTGCACAATGACCGGTAGTAGTCTCTCAAAAGCTGAGAGCTGTGGGACAGGTAGATGAGTGGAGGCTTTGAATGAACGCCCGCAAGTGACACACCTTGCTCTTTCAGCCTATCCTTCACGGCAAGTCTCATGAAAGATGTCATCGCCGATGGTTTCGTTCCGTGCACGAGGCAGCAACGAGGCTCCGTGGATAATGTTGCCGGCGGCCCGGTTCTCCGGAAGGCAATCAAAATTCTATTTTGGATTTCAGAATAAACCTTATTTTTCCATGCCCACCGAATCGGCATAGTGATAAATCACCGGGTACTTGCATGATGTGCAATACTGAGAATGGTGTGGCCATTTTTATGTCGTCTGCCATTCCAATGTCTTGCATGCTGATGTGTGTTTCCTAACAATCGGTCTGGCATTAGACCCATTCAGTGATGTCGTGGGTCAACGCGGTCGCGCCTTGAGCGCAGACTCGTAGCCAGCGCAGAGCGTCGCGCCTGCAGCGCACGCGACAGAGCGAACCTTTGTAGGTCGCAATGTCTGCCACCCATGCTCTCCTCAGTACATCCACCACGTACTAAAGTAAGCTACTCGTGTATGGACTCAGGCTGTCCTTGTACTAACACAGTGTACAGTACTCACTATAGTCCTACGTACACACACTAGTGGATCCACTACGTACTGGGTATTCTCTATAGTCCTGGTTTCTAGCATGTAGGGCATGTCTTCTCA